CAATCGCCAGTGGGGAGGCATGCAGAAGGCAGCTGACCAATGATTCACTCTCATCATCCATGTGTCTATCTCTGTCTCCCTCTCCCTTTCTCTCTGAAATCAATAAAAATATTTAGTTTAAATGCATACTCCTTAATACACACTAAAAAAAAAAAATGCCTAAGAATGGGCACTTAAATATAGGGGCATAAAATTAGTTCCTTAGATTATTTCTTCTATCTTCTAATTAATCTATAAGTTAAATGCATTACTTAAAAAATACATTAAATAAATAAATATGTTACTTATCTGTTAACCACCAAGAAAACAACTTTTTAAAGCATTACCCCATGACATTAGCCCCACCACCCCTCATGCTCCCCCTTCAGACCCTGCAGCCTCAGGCCTCGTCCACCCATGCCAAGCCGCAGGCTCTGAGCGGACCTTAGGCAAGTGAGTCCTCTCAGGTGCCTTCTTCCTTCTCCTCACCTCACTGGGGCCGTCTTGCCCAGGAGCCAGAAGGAAGCCTTCAGGTGCAGAGTCACTTCAGCTGGAACATTGGCACCAGGCCCCTACCTTGGGACAGAGGGAGAGACTGAGCATGCCTAAGGAGGGGCCCTAAGGGTGCTATGAACCCCTAACGCAGGTCACTGTGCTGGAAAATGTGTAAAAGTCAACGTTTAATAAGCCCCATTCAACCCTGACTAGCCCCATAACTTTGCCCACCAAAGACCCTCATTCACTGACCTCTCGGTCCTCTCTCATTCACCCCACAACCCCCTACATCAAAGACCTCCACAAATACCCCTTTGCTCATCCTCCAGAACTCCCCATCACTGAGCCCATCATCCCTAAGTACTCGCCCCCTCATTCTCTGTCTTTCTGTGTCGCAACAACATTTTTCTGTTTGCTGCAGAGGAGACTGTTACAAGAACTAGCCCCAAGCAACACTTCCGCTTCAGAACTAACTCGGGCTCCCCAGCCTACAGGGCTGCAGAGCGGTGTATGTGTGTGTGCGCGCGCGCATGCTCAGTCAGAGCTGGAGCCTGAGTCCGCCAATAGTCAACCAGCGGCCCCTCCCGCCGTCCAAAGCAAGCTCACAGGCGCAGAGGGAAAATGGCCATGCTGTGACATCACTCCAAGAAGATGGCCACGCCCACCGCGTCTCCACCCCAGGTGGGTGGCAGCATTGAGCAGATGTTTACTTTGTTCTGCCGAGGCCGCCATTCCTAAAACTTCCAAGACCAATTTTCTTATGGACGAGAGATGCAGTACCCAATGAACAAAAGCTCTAGCAGGCAGATTTTTGGTGTCTTGTACTTTGGAGGGCAGCATCAGGTTTGTAGGAGTCATAGAACAGAATAGCATGGAGGGCACAGTCTGAGGCATGAAAATGCCGTTGGCTCCATCCAGTGGCTAGGGCTGGGAGTTGACAGTCAAGCGTTTCAAGGCAAACCAGAAGCTGAAAAATAAGTGGAGATGTAGGACACACAACACACACACACACACACACACACACAGAGAGAGAGAGAGAGAGAGAGAGAGAGAGAGAGAGAGAGAGAGAGAGAGAGAAGGAACTCTTTTAAGGTTGATAAGGGTTGATTGCCAGCTCCAGAAATGTTCCTAAGCCAGTGATACAGCTCCTCAGCAACTGTCCTAGGGCTCACAGTGCACATCCACAAGCTATGTGAGGCCAACTTTTCTGCTGCAGACCTAAGATCCCCCCACCCCCATTCTCTGTCCTGGGTATCCTCTACCATCAATCCCTACAGGCGAGACCTCCTCATATAGTGGCCGAAACAGCAAGTAGCTAGGTGAAGTGGTGTGGAAAGCTGACAGCTGGTCCCAGCATAGTCTGCACATGTGACACTCCCACTCAAAGGCCCTCTACCTCGCTAATGAGTCATCACTACAGTTGCTCTTAAGATATATTTTATCAAAACAATGAAAGTGTTGTCAATCATGAGCAGTCATTTTATTGATAGACCATGAGGTAGAAGGTGAGTTTGATGGAACAGCAGCACAGAGGAGACAGTTCTCTGGTGACCTTGGAGTGGCCACGCTTGCCCTAAACTACCTCCAAGTAAAGAATCCCTTTCCAACCTCTAGAAGTCACTAGTGGAGGTGTTGATATGTGCAGTCAAACTGAATCAGACTTTTCTGTCTTGGTTGGTGTATCAGCAAATGGGAGATACATCATACTGGGAGGGTGATGAATTATACTGATGAATGAAGGGCAAATGGGAATAAATTTGGAGAGACAGAGGGCTATGGAATGGAGGTGAATGAGCAGCAGAGTGGAGTGGATGTGAGTAACAGGGCCCATGGTGAGAAAGTGACTATTAGACTGTGCCTTAATCTGAAATAATGGATGAGACTGAGTAAATGAGAAAATGAGACATAGTTTAAGTGACAAAGAGTTCAAATGGGAGAAGACTGTGAGTGAATGGGGTAATGAAAAGTAGTAAATATGAATGGAGTTGATAATGCATTAGAGTTTATATGAATACTAAGAATTACGGTGTGAATGAATGATGATTTATGAGGCACAATATGAGTAAAGAAAAGTGAATTTGGGGGGAAGGTAGGAGTGAATGGAGGCATTGTGGGGCATAGAGGGAAGAATGGGGTGCACAAGGGGCAGAATAAGATGAATCCATGGTACAGTGTGAAACATGAACCAGGTTGATTTTGAGTGGGGATACTATGAGGGGAAGGAGAGTGATGAAAAGTGAATGAGAGGCAGGCTGGGATTAGATAGTGGCAATGCATGGCAGTTTTCCAGGGATCCCAGTCTGAATCAGCCCAGATGGATGAGATGAAGTGTGTGCGTGAATGGAGATAATGTTGAGCATGGTGAGATGAGAGGGGATGTAAGTAAAGGTCAGAGGAAGGTGAGTAACTGGATGTTGTGAGGCAAAGCAAGAGGGGATGAAGGTCCATTCACATGGCCCAAAGTGAATAAGGTGGGGAAAATTGGACCCAATGTAAACAAAAAGTGGTAAATTCAAGACACAGTGTGACTGAATTGAGGGTACTGTAGGGCAGAGTGGGAGCAACTTGAATCAGGACTAAATGGGAGTGATGGGTGGAAATAAGGGTTACACTGGGAGTGAATTTGTATGAATGAGATAATAAAAGGCTGAGTGAGAGTAAATGGAGGAAATGAAGCGAAAACTGAGAAAGAATGGAGAAGACCAAGCATAGAATAATTATACAGAGGTAACTTGAGTAATAAGAGGCACAGGTCACCGAAACTGGTTTGGCTCAGTGGATAGAGCGTCGGCCTGCGGACTGAAAGATTCCGGATTCAATTCCGGTCAAGGGCATGTACCTTGGTTGCAGGCGGATCCCCAGTGGTGGGGGGCGGGGGGGGGTGCAGGAGGCAGCTGATCGATGTTTCTAACTCTCTATCTCTCTCCCTTCCTCTCTGTAAAAAATCAATAAAATATATTGCCGAGTCCAGTTTGGCTCAATGGATAGAGGATTGGCCTGCGGACTGAAAGGTCCCAAGTTCAATTCCGTTCAAGGGCATGTACCTTGGTTGTGGGCACATCCCCAGTGGGGGGGGGGGGGGAGGTGCAAGAGGCAGCTGATCAATGATTCTCTCTCATTGATGTTTCTAACTCTCTATTCCTCTTCCTTCCTCTCTGTAAAAAAATCAATAAAATATTTTTTTAAAGAGGCACAGGTCCATGAACTAGTGGTTATTAGTATATGGGGATAGAATTAGAGAGAACAGAGGTGAAGATATGACAGAGAGAGAATAAGGGAGAAAATGAAGTCCAGAGGCAATGAACAAAGTTGAAAGATGGGCCATGTGAGAGAGAATGGGACTTGTCTGATACAGGGTCAGGAAGTGGAGGTAAAAGTAGGAAAGAGTGAATGGAGGTGAAGAAATATGATGTGAGAGAATTTGGTTAATGATAAGTACAGGGTTAGGGAATTGCATAATATGAGGTCCAGTGTACCCTAGTTGGTTTTGTTCAGTGGATAGAGAGTTGGCTGGCAGACTGAAGGGTCCAGGGTTCAATTCCAGTCATAGTCATATACCTCGGTTATAGGATAAATTCCTAACCCTGGTCAGGGCGTGTGCAGGAGGCAACCAATCAGTGTGTCTCTCTCACATCAATATTTCTCTCTGTCTCTCCCTGTCCCTTCCACTCTCTCTAAAAAAAAAAAAAAAAAAAAAAATCAATGGAAAAAAACCCTCAGGTGAGGATTAACCAAAAATAAAAATAAAAAATGAAGCCCAGTGTGAATGAGTGAATGAATGGATGTGAGGCAATGTAAGTGAATGAGTAATAAAAGGTAGAATGAGAATGGAGGTGAAAAAGCAGTGGTGTGTATACATGTAATATGTAACAAAATAAATATGTAACATGGGGCAAAGTGTGATGAAATGATGGTAACATGAGGGAATATTCCAATAAATTAAGGTAGAACAGGTTCTGAGAATGAGTAAATGGAGGTAATGGGGGCAGGGAGTGAGGGTGTGATGGCCATATTTTACAAACAATCATGAATCTGAGGTGGTAGTAGGCACAGTGTAGGTAATAGAGCTTACTACTTAGCAGATTTGGGGGGGTGGAGGTGATGGGGGGCAGAGTGAGTGAAAAAGGAGGTAAGCAAGTGCTAGAGAATGATTAACAGTAGATTGGGACAGTGATAAGAAATATAGGGAAATGTGGGCCCAATGTGATTCCTGTCTGTCCTTTGTGTGTCCCCAGCCCCTCTCTCTCTGTATCTCTGACATCAATTTCTATGTTTTTGTCTCCTTCCATGTATACATCAGTATATGTCTTTTTCCGTGTGTGTGTGTGTGTGTGTGTGTGTGTGTGTGTGTAACAGAGTTGTCAATGAGGAAAATTGTGAGGTACCCAACCCTTTGGTTTATGTGTTCCAGAATCTATCACTTAGGTCTTTGCTCATAGAGCCCAGAGTTCCAGAATGCCATAGTTCTGAACACTGCATAGTGAGTCTGGAGCAAAGAGTCACTAGGAAGGCTTGTGGGACTCATAATGAAAGCCTGGGGCACTGTGGTAGTGACCCTGACCATGCTCATTATTGCCACTGTGGATGCCAAGATCTATGAACGCTGCGACCTGGCAATGAAGCTAGAGAAGGCAGGCCTCAATGGCTTCCAAGGCTACAGCATTGGAGACTGTGAGACCTCGGTTGCCCCATGCCCCACCCACACCACAATCCTCCCACCACACTCAGATACAGGCCCTCCTTGTCATTTATCACCTCTCCAGACCAGTGGATAATCCTCTTGGTAACCCCCTGACTGACTGTGATGAGTACTTTAACTAATTATGTCATTATCATCTTACCTTCACAATCATCACTCTCATTTCTACCATCAACACCATCACTACCATCAATATCATCACTACTATTATCATCATGAATACCATAACCACTACCATCACTGACATCTCAACAATATCACCAACATCAACACCACCACCAAACCAAGATCATCACTCCCACAACTGAGATGATAACCATACTTGTCCCCACCCCCCTCCTCCTAACCTCTTCTGTTCCCAGAACCCATGCTTCCCTATCCCTGCCTCAGGGGTGTGCCTGGCACATTATGTGAGTGGCTTTGACACCTCCGTCGTGGACCACAATCTTGATGGCAGCAACCAATATGGCATTTTCCAGCTGAATTCGGCCTGGTGGTGTGACAATGGTGTTACACCCACCAAGAACCTTTGTCACATCGAGTGTCAGGGTGAGGCAGCAATGGGGATAACCTGAAGCCCTACCTGGCCCTACACACAGAGGGCAAGGTTATCTAAGCCATAATCTCCAATAACAAGCAGGAAAACGATAGGGAAAGAAACAGAGTTTCTTAGGATGTTAGAGACACCACCCTGTATCATTACCCATACTGCACTGAAATGAGGTTGAACAGAACTACCCAACATGAAGATGTAGTCAGGAGGACTCAGAGCTCACAAACCTCACCAAGAATGGAAGCTTCAGTCTTTTGGGACTCGGGAAATGGGAATCTTAGCTCCACATGAAATTGAGGCAATTGTCCTGATTTGGGGTTGAAATTGTTCAGCCCCTGAGGAAGAAGCAGATATCTGGTTGTAGGAACAGACACAAGGTACCTCGGTGCAGAAAAGAGAGAACTTTCCAGATGAGATATGGTATTGTTGAGGACAAAATTTAATAGCAGAATTTGTTCCATGTTGTCCAAAATGGTCCTTGAGGTTGTCCAAGATAGATAGGTAAAAATGGAGACTGAGATTATTTGGAAGCAGTTTGAGGTTGTCCAAGTCCTGCCACAGTGACCAAAGAGGTCACTTAGGATTAGCCAAATTGGAGGTTGAGGTTGTCCAGGACTGGTCAAGATAGAGGTTGAGGTTGTCTAGGACAAGATAACATGAATATTAAGGTTTTTCATTACTAGGACCAGTCACCTTGGTGGTTGAGGTTGAACAGGACTACCCAACATAGAAATTGAGGTCATTTATATCATAACCAGTCAAAATGAGTTGATGTTATCTAGAACCTGACTACATATTGTTTAAAGTCACCAGGACTGATCAGCTTTCAGTTGAGTAGATTTTCCATCAGCTAACATGGTGTTTGATGTGATATCAGACCAGCTACCATTGCAGTTGAGATAATTCATAATCACAAAAAAATGACAGTTGAGGTCATCCAGCACTGGCCAATTTGGAGGTTAAGGTTGTCCAGGACCAACTGATTTGGTGGTTGAGTTTATTCATAACCAGACAACATGGTAGTTGAGGTAACCATCTGACAAGTAAATCAAGGTTATCCAGAATAAGCTAATGTTAGTGCTGATGTTATTTGGGCCTCAAGGAACACAGAACACCTGGGTCCTACATACGCTGTCACTCTGTCCCCAATGCATCAGATCATTATGTCCCTCTGTTTCCCTCAGACCTTCTCAACCGCCATATTCTGGATGACATCATGTGTGCCAAGAAGGTTGTGTCCTCACGGGGCGGAATGAATGCCTGGTAAGTTTATGGGAATGACTTGGACCCTGGGCAGCCAAGTGGCACTACCATGCTATCAGCCTGTCCACTTCATCCTTCCTCCCTCCTTCCATTTCCCAGGGATTCCTGGACCAAGTACTGTCATGGTCATGATTTATCTGAATGGCTCAAGGGTTGTGATATGCATGCAAAACCGAACACAAAGAGAAAGACTTCGTGATTCATTCCCAGAGAAAGAGATTTTCTTTCGTTTGTGGATTTAATAAAGAATGGTACTTATAAACAATGCAGGAGACCTCAGATTCCTGATGCTCTTCACTTTCCCAATGCCTGGAGATACTCTTATTCAATCACTTCCACGTATTCAAAGATCTAACCAGGGGACACCAGATCTCTCAGGGTACTAGGGGATATGAAAGATACTGTAGTGATTAGGAGCATAAGTTCTCTTGGGTTCAAATACCATCTTTACCACTTTCTAGCTGTGTCGCTATCATTCATTCAACCAACTAATGAATATTTGAGGCAAAATATAATAGAAATTAACAGTGTAGATCTTGGACTACATTTGACTTGGGAATGAATTCCAGTTCTGCTGCCTGCTGATTCTGTGAGCTTGATCAGATGGCTAAACTCTCTGAACCTCACTCTCCACATCTGCCCCATGGGGATGATATCACTATTTAACTCCATTGATTGCTATGAAAATTAAATGGGGTGATGCATATAAAACATTCTGTGCTGACACAGGGGTCCTGACCCTGTCCCTGTCCTCAGAGAGCTCTCTGTCATTCTGCCATCGGCATTGTACAGAGGTCAGGGTTGTGCATGGATAAAGCCCAGGGGTAATGAGGAGTAAATATTGAGGGCACTGCCAATGGGGTAGGGGAGCTGTCCCAGAAGAAGTGACTGCTGAGCCTACTAAGGAACACAGCAAGTGCTAATCACATAAATACTCAATTTAATACCAGAGTTATAAATATTAGTATGAAGAAATAAAAAAAAATATTTCTGGTTCTTGAGTATTCTAGAAAGAAACATATTAAATGCTGATTTTAAAACACAGTTTAAATTTTCCCCTTAATAGAGAGATTCTAGCAATCTTAGAACAGAGTCCCTATGTGAGGAAGTTGGAGACTGATGGCGTTACCCTATAGTCAGGGAGCACCAGGGAGTCCCTCTCATTGGTCAAGGTGGGGCAAGAGGATGTTCTTTCACTAAGCCTTCCAAAAAACAGAGAGATGAATGGACAGGACAAAGGCATACTAAACTATCACGATAATTGTAGAAAGGAAAAAAAGCTCTCCCATCTCTATCACTATAAGAACGCTGGGGATGCCGAAACCGGTTTGGCTCAGTGGATAGAGCGTCGGTCTGTGGACTGAAAGGTCTGGGGTTCAATTCCCGTCAAGGGCATGTACATTGGTTGCGGGCACATCCCAAGTGGGAGGTGTGCAAGAGGCAAGTGATCGATGTTTCTCTCTTATCGACATTTCTAGCTCTCTATCTCTCTCCCTTCCTCTCTGTAAAAAAAATCAATAAAATATATTTTTTTAAAAAAAGAAAAGAACCCTGGGGTTGAGCAGGAACAGGTGGTGGTCTATAACAGGTAAGTCCACCCTTCTCCCAGGTCACGCAGCACCTGAATGGAACCTCCTTCTTTGTGAATCAGAACTAACCTCTCGACATTGGCTTCATTGCTGCAGGCACCCGGCCCCACTAGTTCCGATACAATGGGAAGGATTTGAGAAGGTAGCCCGCCTCCTACACTCCATTTTTTAAAACAAAACAACAGTTCTAGCCAGGTGATTCAGTTGCTTGCAAGTTGGTCCAACTCCCAAAATGATAACGGGTACTATCTCACATCAAGGCACATACAAGCAGACACATCTCAATGTTTCTCCACAACCTCTATCTAGCTATCTATCTCCCCTCCAGTCTCAGAAAATTCAATAAGCATACCCTTGGGTGAGATATTTAAAAATACACTTAAAAAAACATATTTTAAAATTTTGTTTTCATTCTTAAAATTAAATACATATCATAAAAACCGAAACAGCTTACTAGTACTCTTAGCAGAGAGTAGGACGCAGGCTGATGGGAAGGGGACCATCTGGGCATGCCCACTGAGGGAGCCAGGAGTGGCCCACTGCGCCTGCGCTGGCCACCTGGCTGCAGGCGGGAAAGGCGGCGGCGGCGGCCATCTTGGAAGACGGTCCACACTCCATACTGGCCTCGCCACTCTCTCGGGCTCCGCGACCTGTGTGTTACCGGCCCCGAGCGCAGGTCACCTCAGAAGCGGTAAGGCAGCAGAGGCCCCATATTGCACTGAGGGGTGTCTCCCCTCCGGGCTGACCTGGCCCCGCTTCCCCCGCGGGCCTTGTCTCCGCCGGGCCGGACACGGGGGGCGTCACGGAGAGACCGGAGCCTCCGGACTGCTCCAGGGGGTCTCCGCGGGCCCAGCAGCCGGGACGGTCACGGGTGAGGGTCTGCACGGCCCTCTCGGGGCTGCCTTCGGCACAGCGGAGCGAGAGTTCCCTCGTTCGGCCGTCCGTCCGTCCATGAGGAGCCGCCATGCTGCTCCTCCCGCGGAAGACCCCGCGCTGAGTGGCCGCAGCCCGGACCCGGTGTCACCGAGGCTGGGTGCCACTGCAGAGCTATTGTAAGGAATGGTGCTGTAAACACAGAGGTGGAAATATTCCTTCTGATTGGTGTTTCTGGGTTTGTAGGGTATATTCCAAGAAGTCGGATCACTGGGTCAAATGGCAGCTGCACTTTTAAGGCTTTGAGGAAACGCCACCCTGTTGTTCACAGTAGCTGTACCAGTCTGCATTCCCACCCGCTAGGCAGTAGGGTTCCCTCTCTCCACATCCTCACCAGCAGTTGTTTGTTGTGTTACTGATGGTAGCCATCCTGGCAGGAGCGCGGTGATAGCTCATTGTGGCAAAGGCAGAATCTTAATTCCAGGACACTCTGAGTTTGACCCTGCCTCAGGGCTTCATCCCCAAAGACCCTGGGCTGGGTGACCTCAGAGACTCCGTGTATCCCTTCCAGATCACAGCACACCCAGAGGCATGAGCAGAGACAGCTCCTGGGATAACAACCCCATGGAGGACTCCCAGGATTCACAGGAGACACGCGAGGTGAGGGCACTGGGGCATATCAAGAAGTGAAGGGGCACAGAGCAGGGTGACTACATCTCTGAGAACGTGAGGTCACAGGCAGGGAGGACAGCCAGCAGTGTTCCATGGTGGGCGGAGATCCCGAGCCTCAGGAGCTTCCCACCCTCACGTGGCACTTGCCTAGCATCCCTGAAGAAAACAGGTCATCCCTGTGACCTTGGCTGCACTTGGTGACTCTCAGTCCATTCTGGAAGGTGGGAGGAGAGCCCACCAGCAGCATGGATCACCTGCTGCATGCAGGGGAGAGGCTGAGCCTTGTTACCCTTGTCCTCTCAGTTCCCTGTGACATCACCAGGGGGAACTCTTAGCTCCAGTTTACAGGTCCAACACAGGTTCTGCAGCGCAGGAAGAGGACAGGCTAAAGGGAAAACATTTTCACCTGAGCGGCTGCAGGAATTCATTTATTTCTCATTTTCCTAGCAATTGGAGGAGGTTCGCAAATGCTTCACTGAAGAAGAGTGGACCAAACTGGATAATGCAGATAAATTAACATATGTGTACATGAAGAAAAGATACGACTTCATGACTGCTCTAGGTAACAACAGACTGAACTGAGTACACAAATCCATCCCTCTTGCCCTTTACATATCATGGCTTCTTCTTATGCTCAACAAAATCTACCCCATTTCGTTTGTGCAGAGAGCAATCCCTGGGCAGCTTCAGAACCTTCTTTTCCATTGTATCCTGAACAGGGCTCAAGGTCAGGAGTGGCCACTGGCCCTTGTTCAGATACCTGCACCTATGACCTTTCCTGTCCCTGCTGTCTCCCGTCATCCACCCTCCTCTCAGGTTGCCCCTTCAGCAACAAATATTTTGCTTCTCCTAGGTCTCATGGCCGTCGGCCCACATAGCTTACTTCCAAATAAAGGAATCCCAAAATCTCCTGACCAAGGTTTAGATGAAACTCAGAACCCTGGGCATCATGGTGAGTGACAGGAAAGTCATGGAAGTTATCGCTGAAGCCCAATTTATTGGGGTCCATTTGCTCAGAAAGGTTCTCAGGGGGAATCAGTGGCGAGTAAAGAATGTGGATGCAGAAGGTGAAGTACAGTCAGTTCAGTGGTGATACATATAAAATCCTAAAACATGCAAAGGAACAATATGTGTTTTATAGATACTAAGTCACTGGGAAATATATCAAAACCTAGATCTCAATAAAACTCATCAAATTCAGGATTCAAAAAGTGCAGAAAGAGGACCAGCAGGGATCATCGGTGAGGGCTGCACCGATGCCGTCAGCTGTGACGTGTTCCCGGTGTTCTGTTGTGTCTTGAATGAAAGATCTCAGAACCCTGCGAAGCAGATGTGCACTCATGTTGTCATCTGATTAGGCCCGGTGGCAGATGGGCACATGTTTCCCATAAAGTCCTCAGTGGTTTTCTGCAGTTTTAAACATTTCTTTATTTAAATGAGTTAATATTCTTATAATTTTGCTGCACACACTCATGAGCCATAGCAAATTTTTAAAAATATATATTTTATTGATTTTGTACAGAGAGGAACGAGAAGAATAGAGAATTAGAAATATTGATGAGAGGGAAACATCTATCAGCTGCCTCCTGTACACTTCCTACTGGGGATGTGCCCACAAGGAATTGAACCCAGGACTCTTGAGCTGGCAGGCCAACGCTCTTGCCTCTGAGCTAATCTGGTCAGGGCCACAGGAAAATTTTATTAAAGTCTAAGTCCTCCAAAAACATTCCAAGACAATTTTAGAACAGCATTGGGATAGCTTAAGATGAGCATCTGAAGAGACAAAATGACTAAGGTGTTTTGTAATGACACTTACCTGTTTTCCTGAGCTTTACCAAACACAGTGGACTTCTCAGTCCTAACTGAATCTGATTCTATAAATTGACTTTGGGGGAGTATTTGAGATAGCAATGCCACACACACACTGAGGTTTGCTAGTGGTGTGTGAGCAGCGGCCTCACGGGGTGAGAGAAGCCACAGATTCAAAAATCTCTGCCCAGTGAGCAGTGTGCTTACTCACTGTGAAGAGCGTGGGTGTGTGCACTTGCTCTCTGCTTGGACAGCCTCGTAGCAAGAAGACAGGGTCAGAAGGCTCACTCTGTCTCCAATAGCCCTACGCTCCC